AAGATTAGCCTCCTTCAGCTTTTAGAGTCCCAGCTATCGAACCAGGTGGAATAATTGTGAATGCAGATGATATTTGTTCTAGGCAAAGTCAACTCAGCTTAGCATTTCACATGAGCTAGTCAAGTGTTCCCCTGCTCAGTGTGTTCTTTTCCTCCCTCTCTTGATGTTTAAATAAATTACAGGAGTGGAGAATTTTAGCTTGGAACTACTACTAATCCATACCACGAAAGTCATGTTTGTGAATATTTGTGCTCTTGCTGTCATAGCCTTCAAAAACCCTCTTTGGGGAGAATTTTTTCATTAAGTCATGTATTTCCTTTGTCTCAAATGCCCTTGCCTTCACAATCTGGAAATGTTTTCTTACTGGAACAAACCCTCAGGTGTGTCTTCTCCTGAGGGTTACTGTATCCACCAGCAGCCTATGATCTTACTTACCCTGCTTTGCCCCTCAAACGGGTAAGTGCCTTCAAAGAGATTTCCCCTTCAGCCATGGGATTCCTTTATTGCAAAGTAATCTAGAAAAAAGAGATGGAATCCAGAGTTTCTATGACTGAAGGAGCTGGGAAGGGCTACATCAAAAACTGAGAAACAGCAATGCAGCTTCTCAGCCTCCAGGATTTGCCTCTCCCTCCCTTGTTGCTGACGCCCCACTATTACCGCACTGTGCTGGGTTCTACGATGACCCTGGACGAATGTTTCCCCCTTTACCCAAGCTCCCTCAGCAGCACTGGGGCACTGCGTCATTCCAGACAGTACATGGGAGTGCTGCAGAGGCTAATCTGGCTGAGAATGGGGGAGACACGCAGTGACCTCCCTTTCTTCCCAGACACCGAGACATCTTTACTTTGTCCTTGAAAAAACCTCCTGCTTTGATTCAAGGACACCACACCTCCTAGCAGAGTATAGTGGCCCCAGAGAGAAGTGCTTTCAAGGCTGAGCCCTGCTGGGCAGGTCCTGAGGGTCCCAGGATTTGCTTTCCAGAAGCTTCAGCACTGCCCTTTCTTGACACAGAGGTCATGGCTTCCCTCACTCTCGTGTGCCCATCCCCAGCCCAGGGTCCCTTCCGCCTCCTCTTCTCTCAGGAGAAACCTCAGCTTTTCATCAAGAATGCTTTTTTTCTGGGCCTCCCAGACTTTGTTTTTAAAGCCCCCTCTGAGCTGCGTTCTAAACAGCCTTCATATTTAGCAGCAAGCTGTGTGTGGCATTTGACGGCACAAATCACGGCAAAGAGACAATGGTGTTCCTGAAGCTAAAACCCCCGACGTAGCTCAATTAGGATGAAGCATGCAGGAATTCTCTCTGCCAGCTCCAGGTTGCCCACTTAAAGAGTGATTATTCTCTCTTCTGTACACATTTATAGTTTGTCCCTAGAATATGGCTGATCTGTGAAAGTAAGAACAGTGCGAGGCTTATCAGCCTTGAGTTTTTCAAAGGCTGGACTAGGTGTAGCAGGGATTAGGTCTGACCATCTCGGAGATTCTGAGATTCTAAGCAGTAGATGTAGAATTCTTTTTTTTTTTTTTTTTATAGCACAAGTCTTAGACTCTGGAAACAACCAAGAAAAAAAAAAAAAGCTATTCTAGTTCTTCTGTTTTGAAACCAAATTCACTAGGATTCTAGAGACACTACTGTCAACTTACAACATGTATTCTTGTGGCCCTGAACCTGCCTTTGAGACATGCTTGAAACAATGACAAGGTGTACGGAGAAAGCAGCTCATAAAAACTTCCCCTCGAGAACCAACTCAAAAAAACCCTATTCTCTTTTTTCCCCTCTGTATTCTACCTCCCTTTCTCCCACCCATCTCCTGGCAGAGTAAAGATAAAGACCATTCAAGGAATGAAGCAAATTCAAAGAGAAGTTGAGTTCTCTCTTAAATAGGCTGCTTTCCTGATCTTGCCGGGCGGCTCCAACTCTGGAGGCAAAAGTAGAAACAAATCTTTCTGAACGTTGTATCCCATATTAAGTAAGGCTCTCGACTCTGCTTTTCAAAGGGAAGACAGTGCCTATTGTTAGGGAGACAGGTTTAGCTATTTTGGAGATGGGAGAACCCCTGGTCAAGAGGAGATGTCACTTTTTACAGTTTGCACGCTGCCCTCTCCTGGTGAGTGTTAACAGCACATCCCATGTATTTATTTTCATCCCATACCTGGGTGCAAGGTCCATGTGTACACGTGAGAGTTTGTTTAAAATATTCAGGAAATCACAGTGAAAGTTTATACTGGGAGCTTATTTGAGGAAATACACTCATTATGCCTTTGGCTCTTGGGTTCCTATTTAAGGATGACCATCTTCATACCATCTCCCCTCACACTCTCAGTGTTTTGACCGCCTCGCTGTTCATCGCCCTCTTAAGGCCATGTGGCTCTGGGACTCTGCTCTGCACATCAGTGGTCCGCGTGAGCTGGGTCCTACAAACGAGCGGACCAGTCAAAGACATATCCCCACCCAGAAGTGGTGGCCGTGGGAAATACCTGTATGTAGACTAGGGGCTTGAGGACCATACTTTAGCCTGACTTGGGCTCAAAATTCATTCTACACATGATTAGGTCAGTGTGTCCAATTTAGAGAAAAGAGAACTCTGGGGTAGGAAGAGAAATAGCTAAGCAAACACAGGAGTAGATGGCACCAGAGGCCAAGTTTATAACCGTGTATTTCCCCTTCGAAATGATTTGTCTTATTTGCTGGCTCTCTGTGTGACTTGTTTTAAGCCCAATACTTGGCCCAGGCAGTTACTCTAATTCACCACTTTCTCCTAAATACTTAGTGGACCCTGATACTGAGAAAATGCTTGCAAACTGGCAGGACGTGGCTGGTATGATCTCTTGTGTGCCCGTGCCTCTGCAGCCTCTCCGCCTTTGTCCTTGACCTAGGCCGGCCAGTTCTCTCCATATCAATAAGAGCTCAGCACCCGGACTGGAAGCCTAATTCCATTCCTTTGCTTTAGAAGAAGAGGACTAAGGAGTTGTTGTTTACTTTAAAGAGATTTCAAGGCAAGTACCTTGTTTAAACTTTACCAAACTTATAACTTGATGGTATCTAAAGCTCTAGCCAGCTATCCTAAAACACAGAGGGAATGAACTTTCGATTACTTCTCCCAGCAAAGAGTGATAGCACAAAACAATGAGTAATCAAAGCACGGTTTACATTTATCTTTGAAAAGCTCTTAGTCCAGACAAAGTGTGTGTGTAAGTATACATATTCAGCCTCACATTTACACTGTCACTACCGACATGCCCAAAACAACTCTCGAGCTTGGATGGCAAAAGGAAACGGGTTTCCGTGTATTTCAGATATTATACTTTTAGATTGAAAAATGTGTATAGTGACGCAAAACTACACTTTTAACTGCAAATAGAATTGAGTGGGGTCAGTTAATTAGTGTTTATTGAAATAGGTAAATTCCTGATAATCAGTTTCCTTTGTGCTGTAAAAAGAGAAAAATACTCATATAAAATCAAAATGCTCTCTGCAAAATAAAATGCTCACTTGCCATGTCTCTTCTTTGACATGGTTTCAAAAATACCCCATTATATCATTCGAACTTGGCATTGGGCAACCGTTTGAACAGTTTTCAAGACTCCGTGGTTGAGCTAAGCATGCCTTTTCCTTAATGACAAAGATTAACTTGATTTAAAAAAACAGGTCAGTGTAAATTCTCCATTGTGATATGTAAAACAAATACCTTTCTTCTATCTTCCTTATCTACCCCGGGCAGGCACATGTCTTGGATCGGGGTGCCCTACAATCCAGGCATGACAGAATGGGGAACTGTGAATTACCGGTGGAGGGTTTGAATATGTTCCACTGAGAATCCACTGAGAAGAGTGAGAGAACATATTCAAGTTCTCCTGTTCTCTAGTAAGAGAACATAGTCTACCAGCCCTGCACCTGCTACAGGGCGCTTCTCTCGTGGAACCAGAGTCCTTCACTGCAGGAAAAGCTCTTATCTGGGGATTCAGGGTGGCTCTACGCCAGCTGTTTGAGGATCGCCCAAAGCAAGACTAATCTTTTAACTCAGCCGTCATTCAGCCCCACTGGCTTTTCCAAGGCAAAGACTGAACTCATTAAGCAATGCTAATTTAATCATTAAGTAATCAACAGGAAAAAAGAAAGTTATGTAACCATCTTCAAAATCTGAAATCAAACATGGTTTTATATATATATATATATTTTTAAATTATTTTTATTTATTTATTTTTACTAAATTCCCATCTCAAAATAAAATGAATAAAGACAGGCCAGGACATGGCCAGGCATCTACGGATTTTCGTATCAAATAAAATCAAGCCCCAGATGGGCATTTCCTCCCAAGATCCCATCTACGACACGGTTCCAGTTCATGACTTTTTAGTGTAGTGACCCGTGAGGTCTCGGAATTCTTCCCACCGGAGGGTGCACGACACAGATGCACTTTCAACTCCGAAGACGATGCCCAAGTAAATCAGGTACACAGCAGGAGTCGCTGACCATTACACCGAGAAACCCCGTCCTCCCTCCGGCCACAGCGAAGCGACACGGCGCTGTTCCCACTCCCGAGCGCGGCCCGCGCCGGCCGCGCTTTTAGGCTCAAACCCGTGCTCAGTCCGCGCGGGCTCCCGGTCCTCAGAGGAGGCTCCCGACCTGGGGGGGCGCTGGGGACTGCTCGGAGCCCGCTTCCCAACAACCGGCCGGGGTCTGCCTCGCCGTGGTCTCAGCTACGACGGGGTCACCAGGAGCGGCCGGGGGCAGCGTGACAGCGCGCAGAGCCCGGTGCGGCTGGAGAGACGGGGACGCCGAGCAAGTTGGACGGCCCCGTCGCAGCCGCGGATAACTGAGTGGGTGGCTGGACCCCGCGCCCTCCGAACGCGCGTCAACCGCTTCACCTTCGGGGGCACCCGGGACGCGCCCTCGCCGCTCTCGGCGGCGACCTGCGAGGGAGCAGCGGCGCCAATGACTTTTAAGCGCCCCGCGGAGGCAGGAACGGGGAGCCGTGTCCGCGCCCCGCGGTCGCGACGTACCTGCAATGACGTGATGGAAGCCTCGTCCTCGGGGCCCTGTCCGGCGAGCCACAGAGCGCCCCGCGGGCTGCGCGCCGGCTCTGCGTCTGCCGCCTTCGGGGGCCGGCGGCCGGGCGCACGCGGACGCGCATGCGGGGGCGCGCGCGGGCGGGGGGCGGCGCGGGGCGCGCGGGGCTGCGGCTGGCGGCTGTGCACCGGCCGGGGCTGGGCTCTGCCTCCGCGCGGCGCTGCGCCCGGGTCTGAGCGCGGCCCGGGATTCCTATTGGCTCCGCGCGCCGAGCCAAGGACACGCGCCGCGCCCCCGCCCCCGCCGGGCTTCGCTCGGACCCGCAAACGTCGCAGCCACAGGCTGTGCCCTCGCTCGCGGGGTGTCTCCTCCGCTCGTTGCAGGCTGGGTGTGCAGCGCTGCGGTCGGCGGGAGCGCGGCTGGGAGCAGACTTCCAGCCCGAACCGCCCTGCTTACGTGGGGGAACCCTCCGTCCCCGGACCCGCAAAACCCGCGCACTCCCCTCGGGTCTTCTCCTCCCTTTGTGGATGGGTCTGAACGTGAGGAATGTACCAAGCCTGCGTGTGTGCGGACACACACGCGCGCGCGCGCACACATCAGGCTCCTTTTGTTTTGAATAACTGAGGCCAATGACATTAAAGGCAAGCTGAGCCCCATCACCGAAGTGAGAGCTCCACTAATAAAATCTTGAATGAATTCAGTGGAAAACACTCGCTGCTTGAGTTTGTTTTCTGTTCCAAATAGTGCTTTGGTCATTATCCCTATTTTTGTTTATTGAATACAGAGGTTTCTAATGCAAATCAGACTTTACAGCATCCAGGGAACATGGAGCGATGACGCCAGACCACTTCCTGGGCTGCGCGGGCTCCGTGTGTTTTACCGGGAGGCTCCGGGGACGCCTGCATGCTCCTGCATTTTGTTGTTGTTGTTGTTGTTGTTGTTGTTGTTGTTGTTGTTGTTGAATTTTGGAGTCTTGTCTCCACTGATGGTCTGAAGACACTCACTTAGTGGGATTCACTGGCCAAAGAAAGCTGGTGAGACTCTGCTGAAAAAGTTACCTGGATTAAAAATTTCAGTCTGTGGGGGTCAAGAGTGCTAAATGCTCAGCTGAGAATGAACACCCCCCGCCCCAATTTCTCTTCTGAGATCTGACAAACTTGACTGGGGGAAGTTAAGCGTAAAATAAAACTTCACTGTGTTTTCTAAAACAGACCCTCCCTTAGCGTCCATCACCCCTAAATCATTTTCACTTGTGCCTATTTAAATTTTAATGACGGTTCTTCTTGACGAGAAACATTGCTTCTGAAATCACTGAGCTGTATTTTGATTTTTGATTGGAAAATTTCCCCCCAGTGTTATGCCTTCTGTCTACTAGTTTCGTATTTGATGTCCTGGTTTCAGCCCAGCTCCTAACACATTTTGTTGCAAAGTCACAGGAAACAAAAATTAGTTTTTGGAATTCACTGTCACCAAACAAACTACCTGCTTGCTTTTCTTACTTGGACATGTTCCAAGAAGCCTTATTTTTTGGAATGGGCCAATCTGAAACCAGCTGAAATTGACAAAAGAAATACAAAACAAAACCATATTTGGCCACATTGGTTTCTGCCAACAACAATCCAACTTCCAAATGGCGTCTCCTTATTACTTTTACAACTCGAATCCATTCCCTTTCTTCAAGTAAGCAGTTAAAAAAAACAAACAAACACTGACATAAATCTTTGAATGTGTGAAGCTTATTTCTTCTAAAGGTCTCAACAGTCATAGAAAGAAAGGAGTCATAGGTAAGATTTTCCAGATTTTCCAGGTGGAGAAACAAAGACAGAGAAGGATAAAGTTGCCAGTGTTATGAAGGTAGATAGCAGGCAGAGCTGGGAGATTGGATAACTGCTTTCTTCTTACCTTTTTGAGATTACTATTCTATACAGAATATTCAATCCGAAGGGAAGTGAAGTGTTATTATAGCAGATTTGGATTCCCATCATGATTTGGATTTGCATAGACGAGCTAACAATTCTTGAAATCATCTGACCAACTTGGTAAATAGTTATTTTACACAGTATCCCAGGACAGATGATGGCATGTTCTGATAAGTTGCCAATAATTTGTACTTTCTTAGAGTTGCCTTTCCAAAACGAGAGACGCGACTGTTAAAATCAAGCAGGTTGTTATGTTTTCTGCTTGTTATTTGGGGGATCACTGTTGCACGTTATATTCCTGAAAAGACCTTAAAATAAAATCATGGTTCACTTAAAGTCACAGATAAATCTTAAACTTTATTTTAGGCGATAACTCAAGCCATCTTTCCTTCATTCATGGAAGCATATACCTCTTATACCCAATTAGTCATGCGACTTAGAGAAAATAAATTATTAGTATTTGTTTTCCTATGTTTTATTATTTTGATCATTTTGCTACTTTTAAAAAGGTTTTTTTTTAAAGATATTTCTCAAATGCTGCAATTAAATTAGCTCTCATAAATAACATAGGTGGTGGCAATAAGAAAAACTCTGCATCTCAGAAGACATCAGAGTAAACTGCCCAGCATAGTAACAGCAGAACAATCCTATTTCGTTTTCCACTCATTCAGCCACATCAGGGTCACCTGTTTAGCTCGTATGGCGCCTTTTATGGGAGACATTCGCAAGCTGGCATGTATCCAGAAGGTTCCCTAAGATAGCGGTTTTGGATGTTATAATTTATGGGAGATGATGAAGAGAATTGGGCAGTTTGTCTTGCAGAAGGGACTTGGGGTAGACATGGTAACAATTTGCAAATCATATATATGAAAGAGGGATTATGTTTATCATTCATATATGCTTTAAGCGTATTGTCATTTTCACACGTATTTTCTGACTTGAATCTTTTAACAACCCGATGAGGAATATGGGGCAAAGAGTATTAGACTGATTTTATAGATCAAGTCTGCATAGGAAAGTAGAGTAAAGTAACATGATTCAGTTAGGCTATGCCACTAAAGGATGGGAAAACTTGAAATGCATGCCAAGCCCAGTGCTCTTCTGGGGAGAAGTTAAAGGAGGTGAATAAAATTCAGAGTAGGGTAGGACTTTTCATAATTAGAGCATGCAAGCAAATGCAAGGATTTCCTGGTAAATCGATGATTTCCCAGTGACCAAAGTGGTCAAGAAAGGGCTCAGAGTCATCTAAAGAGATTAGGTGATCCCAGGTTTCTTCCAGTTTGACAGCATCTTTGGTCTTATTACGGAACTTCAAAATATTGTAAGAGAACTTAAAATTTCACTAAATGATTCTCATGACATGTTGTTAAGCTTAAAAAGTTATGATTATGATATAAATATATCTCTGGACTAAAGATGATTAGAGATGGCCTTTTAACCTTTTATCCATATGATGACTCTGCATCATTTGCAATAACAGAACACTTTAAAAAACCATACAGAAGAAGAATAAAAGAGTTTGCAATTTTTCACTACTACTCAAAGCTATGAGATTTCCACATAGCTAGTATGCTGAAGGCTGATTGACTTTCTAATAAGATAAGCATCATACTCTCGATGTTTTCTATACCTATTTATCATTTTCTTTCCAACTTGTATTAGATGACTTTTTAATGCTGATTTTTTTTTCTTGGTTATCTCTTACTCATCTTAGTAGCTTTTTTCTAACCTATCAATTTATTGATAAATCTATAAGTGTTTTAGTCCTTTTATAGTTATAGTCATTTTCCTTAGGTTATCATGACAGTTTAAATTTAACATTAAAGTGAATTTGATATATGAAATTTTTAATTCTTCAACTTAAATTATATTCTTCCAGCAGATTAAAATCTTCATTTTACAGAAAGGCCAAAACTCTACTGATTAATGTTGTATATATACATCGAAATCTCCAAATGGATTAAAATTTAGGATTCACTGACCTATCGGCATCTAAAACTTACCACCCACACATTGCTGCTGCTTATGTGTATGGAACAGCATTTCTCTCTGTTGTGTCACAATATTCCTGCACCAAATGCACAAGAGTGATTTATAAGATTTATAAGAGTTTTTATAGGAAAAAATATAGCCCCTCCTGGGTTGCAGAATAAACTCCTTGGGCATGAGAGTGCCATCTGTCATGTTTGTGTCACCCCAGCAGAGCAGAGAGTACAACCCACAGAGGAGCTTGGGAAATTAACAAGAAAGGGAACGACCACATATTCAGCTCAAGCCCTATATTTTCCCTTAAGACCCAGGGAGCAGGTGGCTGTGGGTTTTTTTTGATTCATTAGTTCATGCTTATTAGATGTCAGCAAGGCCACTGCGCTGTACCCTTAGTTCTGAGAAATGGATGGAAAGAGGCAAAGAGGGCAGAATCAGGGTGAAGGGAAGATAGAACAGCCTTTGACCTCAATGTGCTCATGACACAGCAAACAGAGGAGATGGCTAAAACAAGATTTAGTAATGACAAACGTAGTTGAGATAATGGCCAGGACAGCCTCCATCATGGTGCCTGCCACCCCACAGCCCTTTCCCCAACCTCACAACCCAGGGCTAAGGAAGCCCTCCTAGATAGTTCCATACATGAGTACAGAAGAGTCATACTCTTGTTGATCTGACTACGGGTATCAGACGAGACTAGGCTCAGAGGCAAACAATCTGCCGGCCGTGCAGAGATAATGGTGGCTAGTTGCCCATCAGATTTCCTCTTTTGAAGATCTTAAACTAAGGCTATGTCTGGGTATCGATCTGTCTGATTTTCTACCTATCCATCTAGCTATCCATCCATAGTTCGCAGTTGAGAGCAATGATATTATCTTCAAGAGTCTGAAAATCAGAGAAAGGAGAATATACTATGTATGATTACACTGAAAATGATCGTTTGTGAAGTTTTGACTAAGAATGCAAGACAAGGGGGTGTCCTGTTGCTCACTCTTTCTCAGCTTCCATGGGCTGTACCTCTATTTTCCCTTGTTTCTGTGTGTGCTCTTATACTAAATCTCCCAATGCTCGAGGTAAATTTTGTGAATTTCTCCTCCTGGGAAAGGAGACTACAAGAAGAAAAAAACCCAGTGAAATATGGGGGCATCTCCCATATTCTGAAAAGTTAGGTTAACCTCAGGCTAGTTTTAAATGATAGACATTCTTGCACGATCATTTGGTGTGTGGACTT